GGGTCAGGCAGCTACCCAAGGAGATGGCTCTCCTCTGGTACAGCAGATCGATGATCATTTTGGGGGTGGTGACAGAAGTGTAGGAGGCATCTATGAAAGACAAGTAAGTGAGGAAGAAGTACATAGGAGCTGAAAGTGTAGGGCTGAGGGAGATGGTAATAACAATGAAGAGATTGGCCAGCACGGTAAATAGAAAAATGAACAAAAAGACAATGATGAGTATTTTCTGCAAGTATGGATTCTGTGTGAGTCCCAAGAGAATAAATTCAGTCACATTGTTGGTACGTGTAAGGCGATCCATTCATAAATTACCTACAAAGAGATAAAGAATGATGCCTATTAATCTTATAGTACAGAAACAGGGTCGTTACTGTTATGGTGGAGCATACCCTCTGCACCCCTCGCTCAACTTATTGTTTCAGTTCTTTCTCACTTCCTCCATAAAGCTTTCTCTCTTCAGACACCTAGTATCTGTCACCTAAAAAGTATCTATAGGACAAGGTTGGATGGGTAATCTACTGAGAAAATAATGGGCTCTATATGTGCAATCTGGATTCTCCTCTGGTTCCAACTCAATGTGATTTTGCTAAGTCAGTTCAGTGCTCCGTGCTCCTCGGTCTTCCTCTATGTCTGTGACCTTACAAACTGTAACTCCCAGGTGTGTTTCGCAAGCTGTAAAGTGCTGCACATAAGTAAAGAATTATTTTCTCTTTGAGAATTTATATTTGAACCCAAAGTTCTAACTATGGGGGGAAAAACAGGGTCAATAAGCATCTATCACAGATAGGCAGTTTGGTGGAATGTATAAATGGCTGGAAGATACACTCTCCCTCGTATCAGAAATTACACATACACTATTCATGTATGTGTCCTCATTGTGCCTGTATGGTGCCTGGCATAGTTTCTGCCTGGCATGATACCTATTGGGTGATGAACGGATGTGTGGTAAATTGTCACCTTCTTTCTTCTCCGTGTATAAGAATATGCATGCTCCTGAGCACAGAAGAAAACTAGGCATTCAAGGCTCCCATTCTCCTGCTCTGTCTATCATTGCTCTCTACTTTATGAGAAACATAAATGAGCTTTCCAAAGAAAGCCGCAGTCCAGCTTAACAGCTTCTGGTTCATTTTATAAAGTAAGTATGAAAATATTAATTGCCTCTGGGAAGGAGTATATCCCTGGGTCATTTTACCTTCAAGGTAATTATAGTGTTTGCTAATTAAATTTTTATTCTTTAAAACGCTGTTTACATACAAGTTTAACATAGTCACAGTCAGTAATTTTGTGGCTTCAGTAGACTTGGGGGCGGGGGGTGGAAACAACCCTTGGATAGGTGTTCAGTATATGAGAATCTATCAGCAAAGGAAGCCCTTATTTTCAAAGTAAATAAAACACAAACATTTATTTAATGCAAAGAATAGAAATAGTCTGCTGACTAAGACAAGGTATTATACATATACACTCACAGCATATAAAATCTATTATTTACTGTAAGTACTTAATACACTTTTACTCATTCAACAAATATTTATTAGACAATTACTATTATATGTTAATGTATGTTCATTTGTTCACACATAAAAGTGTCCCTGTCACATGTCTTTGGTAATCCTTCCCAACTTTTCATTACTGAACATTAGCAGAATATCCATCCGTTACATGAATGATTCTCCATATTCCTTTAAGCTTCTGCCATATGCATTTTCATGCTTTATTCTCCCATCCTCCCATAACACGCATTACAGGAAGATATTCCATTACTAATTGAATGAGGAAATCTGGGAACATAAATTTCCCAAAAGAAAGAAAGTAGAAAATATAATAAAATGTGATATATGTATATATCCTTTTAAAGGGAAATAAAGAGCCTTATTCTATAATTACACAAAATGAAAATCTTATACATATGTGAAACAAAATACAGTAGCCTCATTGAATTCCCTTATTCTGAGATGGACTCCCCAACAGATCAGAAAAGAATATGGTGCACATAGTAAAAATAGATATAATTAATAAAAGTGATTTAGAAATGACTATGAAGAAATAGAAATTACTGTCTCTTTTTTATTTATTCTTACAATATTCTTTCTATGAAAAAAAAACTAAAAGAAAGATCATTCAGTACAAATATGTTCAGCACAATTATTAAGAGCTATAGAAAATTAGAAACTGCAAAATTAGAAACATTAGAGAAAGAATAAGCAAAATATAGTACATCTCTTTGAATAATGTATAGTTTTTAAAAGAGATGTTTTTAATTGTGCAATATCATAGAAAAATTCTTAGGTTGTAACATTAAGTGGGGAAATTTTAGGTGAAATTTTGTGTATATATAATGTGATTCTAAGTAACTTAAATATATATATCAATTTTTAAAAAAATATTTTTCATTCTAAATTTGTCATATTGTACTTACTTATATCTTTCCTGATGCCTGGCATGCTGAAAAATATATTTAAACCTCATATTTGGTGAGGATAGGGGTGAGTATATGATTTCTAAGATCAGTTTGAACCTGAAATTCTATAATTATGTGATTTCAGGGTGGGGAAGCAGAATCTCACCTATGAACTTGTCTGGCATAGCTCTGTGGTCAGGGCGTCAGGTAGCTGCTAGATCACCAAGAAAGAAGGAAAGATGTAAGCTCAACAATGCCAACTAGCTCAGCTACGTAAGTGTGCCTGTTGGCTTAATGACCTTTGGAGAAGACCTTCCTTTTGAACCTCATAGAAGTGCTACCACACATCCTGTTTGTAGGCAAATCCTGTGATGTTTTTAGTGATGGCTAATTGGACCTCATGGGTATTTCATCAGCAGATCTTACCAACAACCCAATTATTTCACATAACTTAAGTGACCTTTGAGAACTTTGATAGCATTCACTTTTAATGTGTATTACCATAGATGAAATAAGGAAATCCAATGTCTTTTTTAACCCAATGTTTTCTCTTTTGCAAACGTGGTTGCTTTGGTCTCTGGCTTGCCCTTCCATTGATATCATCTAAACATTTTGGAGAATTAATAAAGAAGCCATCAAATAAGGTATAGTTGTAGTATTATCACAACCAGGTAAAATCCACTTGTTCCTTTTATAAAAATTACTCCCTTATTTCTCAGAACTCGTTATTTGTTCATTCATCCACTTATTTGCTTTATGTCCAAACTTGCACTGATTTCCCTGCTAATTCAATAACCATTTCTTTTTTAAAAAATCTTTTATTGATTTTAGAGATAAAGAGAGAGAGAGAGAGAAACATCAATAATGAGAGAGAATCATTGATCAGCTGCCTCCCATATGCCCCACACTAGGGATTGAGCCTGCAACCTGGGCATGTGTCCTGACCAGGAATTAAACCGTGACTTCCTGGTTCATAGGTTGACGCTCAACTACTAAGCCACAGAGGCTGGGCTCAATAATTATTTCTTAAGCCCCTAATTTGTGGGAGGAACTGGAATGGGTTCTACAAAGAAGGATGCAGAGACATCAGCCTGCTCTCAAAGACCTCCTTGTGTAGGATATGAACAACCAAAACCAACATTCCAAGGAAAAAAAGAGAAAACTTTAACAGTGTCAGAGTGATGCACTCTGTCACTCTGTAGAAAGGCCACATAACCAAATGCAGATGCCCAGGATGGCATAGCACTGCACCATGTCCTTGGTACTGGCATGCTGCCTTAGGCACTTCAACATTTTGCATGGCAGATAAAACGAACAGAGATTAGTATTCTAAATGCCTAATCTTGAAAGAGCCATCTGAGTTTCCTAACACTATTGGAAGCAAAAGACTATCTCTGTGTAAAGAGATGAAGACTTTGGAAGCAACAAGGCTCCAATTACTCTCTATGTTTTATCATCTAAGATCATCTCCACTCTTTGGGAGAGAGAACTCCTTTAGGTTTGACTGCTCTCAAATGTGACACCAGAAGGCACAACTTCTTACCAATAATCATAATGTTTACAGAAAAATCAGAAATGCATTCATTATGTAAAATAAAACAATCTATTCCCAAAATGTTTAGCATTTATTGTACTTTCTTAAAGTGTACCTAGAGAGTTAATTTAATGTAGACAGAATCTGAGGCTCAGTGGGATACATGTGACTTAAATCTGCATTTCAACCACTGGAGGAGCATAATTTATCTAGAGGTACAGAATGGGGTTCAACAATTTTATTTTTCAATCCAATATTTGATCATAATATACAAAATCAACCATATGCTACCAACGAAGTGTGAAATTAACAAGGTTCATTTCTATAGATTTAGCCTCAGCTATGAATACATGCTTAAATTTTTATTTTTTATTAAATTTATTGGGATGACATTGGTTAATAAAATTATATAGGTTTAAAGTGCACATTTCTATAATACAATCATCTGAATATTGCACTGTGTACCCACCATCCAAAGTCAAATCTTCTCTCATCACCATGAGCCCTCTTTAGCCTTTATTCTTCCCACCCACCTTCCTCCTGCTCAGTACAGTTACCACCGTGCTGTTATCTGTGTGTTTTTGTTTGTTTGTTTTTCATTTGTTCATTTGTTGCTTTCAGTTTTATATATGCTTCTTAACTTTTTCTGTCTGACTTTTTTCACTAGCATGCTCTGGAATGTAAAGTAATTTGGTAAACACATTTATTTTTACTGTTATATTATCAATTTTTTAACTATCTGAATTTTAAATTTTACTCTCCTGGACTAAAAGGGACCAAGTTTTAAGTGGTCACATTTCTATGTAGCATGGAGATACCATATTCCACAAACAAGAATCTGAAATAAAGCAAAAAAAAAAAATGCTGTCCACTAAAGAATCTTACAGGATTAATTCCCTTATGCAATTCTCTTGCTCTCTAAGGGCAATAACATATTCCACTTAGATAAAGATTAATATATATGACTGTTTCACAATAATTAGGCTGAATAACTCAAAAGAAATATAATTTCTTTAAATGTAATCACTGATAATGAAAGTATTCCTTGGTTCTGTGAAAGAATAAGCATCATGTTCTATATGAGGGACACAGTCCACTTCTAACTAAGGCCACATAGTTATTCCAAACTTTCCTCATGGCATTTTTCATTTCTGCATTTCTCAGGGTATAGATTATGGGGTTCAACATGGGAGTTATGAAAGTTAGAACCACAGTCATGGATTTATCAATGGGAAAGGTGGAATTGGGCCTTGCATACAGGAAGATACAAGGGACAAAGAATAAAATGACCACAGTTATATGGGACGCACAAGTGTAGAAGGCTTTGCGTTTTCCTTCCAAACCATGTGTCTTAAGGGAGTGTAATATGACCCCATAGGAAATTAAGAGAAGGGAGAAGGTGACAGTGCAGATTGCTCCTCATTAGCTATCATAGAAAGTCCAACAAGGTAGGTATTGGTGCAAGCAAGTTTCAATAAAGGATACATATCACACACAAAGTTGTCAATGACATTGGGGCCACAGAAAGGGAGCTGATAAATAAAGAGAAATTGAACCAACGAGTGCAGAAAGCCTCCAGTCCAGGCCATCAACAGCATGAGCACACATACCCGCCGATTCATGATGATCAAATAATGAAGAGGTTTGCATATGGCTACATATCGGTCATAGGCCATCACCACCAGAAGAATGACTTCAGCACCAGCAAAGAAATGATCTATAAAGACTTGAGTCATACACGCCTGGAAGGAAATAGTTTTTTCCTCATAGAGCAAGTCTACAATCATTTTGGGAGCAATGGCAGTAGAATAGACAGTATCTATAAATGATAAGTAAGCCAAGAAAAAGTACATGGGGGAACCCAGTGATGGGCTGGACATGATGGTCACCATGATAAGCAGATTGCCCATTACTGTCACAATGTAGATGAGTAAGAATGCAACAAATAGAACTTTTTGCCCCTCAGGGCTTTGTGTAAGCCCCAGGAGAATAAACTCAGTCACATTGTTCCTACTTCCCATGTGTTCTTCTGAAAATGTGGACCTCAGGTGTCAGAGACTGCAAAGAAAAGGGCCAATAATGAATTTAAGAGGATCACAAGCTTTATGTCAAAAAATGGAATGCCTTATTCAACAATTTTTGTTGCATGGAGCCTCACACAGGGTAACTCTTTCGAAAATGAGTTTGGAGTCTCCTCCCACAATTACTATATTCATTTTCATTTTAGCAACATTTCATTTCTTGCTTCAACTACAATTATGAGAATTCAGAATTCTAACTTGCAGGCAAATGTGCATGGGCATATCAGTGAGATGATCTACTGAGCAATAGGAAAGCTGCTTTCTTCAGAATATCTCTCACAAAGACTACATTTTTTTTTAAAGCCTACAGCATCCAGTATGCGCATGCGGTCTGCCACCCAAGTACTAACCAGGTCCCACCCTGCTTTGCTTACAAGATCAGGCGCGTTCAGGGTGGTATGGCTGTAGACAAGACTGAATTTCTTGACATCATATTTTACTTCCTGTTACCGTGAATGCTTCTTGACATTCTGAGATCTACCATAAAAACAATCTCATCTCTAATAACTTTACTTATGTACTTACATAAAGTAATACCTAGTATTGGAGCAATAAAACTATAGGCTGACATTTAAATAACTGCCTTTCTGAGTTAACTTACTTTTCACAGCAGTGAAAGAAGTGGCAGATCATTAGTGCTTATCAAATGTTTATTAAACTCCATTTTATTACACTGAATTTTAAAACTCACAAAAGAGCAACATTCAATATAAGTATTAAATTATTCCCAACCAAGAAAGTATAATGAAAGCAATGCTGTTGTTGTTTTTAGAACACACTCCACACACACACACACACACACACACACACACACAAACTGAATTGACATTTATTACAACCTAGTCTATTGGAAAGGAAAAATGGATAATACAAATCTTAATGCATGGCTACTACATTGACATTTTTCTTTACAAAATTATTTGTAATTTATTATCTCTAACCATAGCTCAATTCAGAAAGCCAAAATAGACATTTTAGGTAGAATCATGTTATAGTAGAAATAATTCTATGCTAAAAATCTGAAAATATTATTTGATTTTGCTCAGTCATCTTGAAAAAAATCATGTCCTACTCTCCAGATGTATGCATTTCTTAATTCTTGTCATTGATACTTTTACCCTAAAATACATTCTAACACTTTTGCTGGTTGACCATCTTTATATGAATCAGATGAATTAGTATATGTTAAAGGTTATTTGATTATTAAAGTAGTTAACCAATTAGACCAGTTATTTGTTCATATTGCTAGTTCTTGGTTATATAAGTCTGTGTGGAATATAATGTCTTTATTCTCATTAAGGAAAATAAATCACTTGCTGGGCCTTTCAAATATGATCTAGAGCCAATTTACTTGTAATGTGTGCAACTTCGTTTTGGCAGAATTATTTTAAGTGTGCTCTGTTTCAGTGTCTACGTTTACAGACTATTGTGAAGGGCAGGAGACTATTCTAGGAGATTTGTGCTCCTGGGCAAGCCAATTTGTACTCAAATATCAGACGGAGAATAAAAGTGTAGAAAAGAGAAAATAAGAGATAACTCAGAAAAGGCAGATAGAAATCAGCAAAGACCATAAACAAAATGAAATATGCTTTGAAATTGGTAAATAATTTGGTTTGAGGAGGCCTGAATGAGTTCGGAGTAGAGGAATTTCAGGTTTCCTAAGTTATGCTCCAGAGGTGAACTGGAGCATAACTTAGCATCAGTATCAGAGCTGCCTCAAGGAATCTTCATATTTTCGAATCAAAGAAAAAGGAAAAAATCTAAACTTTAAGATGTATTAGTATAAGAGGCTAGCTGACTAAAGGTATTCCATCTTCAGAGCTTCTTGAAGTTCATTGCATATAACTAAATAACTTCATCACAGTAATGAAGCTATAACTGCACTGGTAATGGAAAAGAAATACTCACAATTCATAGGAGTTGTCTTAGCATCCAAGAGGTCAACTTCCAATAGAAGGGTCTGCCACTTTTGCCTGGTGAGTATTTAGAACACTTACTTGTTTAGAGCTGTGCTTCCCAGGCATCTGTCAGGAGAGCAAACATATCTTATTAGTAACTGTATCTACAGAATCTCTGATTGTCCCTTACACACTTTAAGCAATCAATAAACATTTGACTACCAAAAATGTTCTTATGAGCATGTAATTAACATTCTAAACTACTGAAAGCTATTAATTTTTTCAGAATAATATAAAATTATATGCTTTCTCCATGTTGCATTTTATCTACTGGGAAGCACTTTCAAGCAGAAAGATTAAAAAAATGTAGATTCTGAAATTTTGAGCTCCAGTCCAGATCTTTTTAAAACATAGGATCATAACCCATGCCTAAATGTTGCTATTTAACTGTCTATATGGTGAGATCTGTTTCCCAATTAAGAAATATGTTTTTTATTTTTTTACTATATTTTTTATTGATTTTTTTACAGAGAGGAAGAGAGAGGGACAGAGAGTTAGAAACATCGATGAAAGAGAATCATCAATCAGCTACCTCTTGCACAACCCCTACCGGGGATGTGCCCGCAACCAAGGTACATGCCCTGGACCGGAATCAAACGCAGGACATTTCAGTCTGCAGGCTGACGCTCTATTCACTGAGCCAAACCGGTTTCGGCAAGAAATAGGTTTTTTAAATGATTGAGCAAGTGACCAAAAAAAATGATGCAACAAAAATGTTGAGGTCCTATTAACCACCTACGTAGCTTCTCAGATTTTTAATAAAGATATATTTTAAAGAAATATCACATTTTCCAAGTCAATTTCTTCATAGTAAAGGGGGGGGAGGAAACTATCAATAAAGCTTGAGTGTGGCTGAACAGACTTTAGGGGCAAATAAAGAAGCACAATAATCAGAGAGGGTAAATTACTCAACATCATCAGTATAATGAGACTTATAATAGCATCTAACATATAGGATGGTTTTTTAAGGATTAAATATCACAACACAAACAAATTTCTCTAAAGAAATAGTGATAAATGCACAACAGTGTGTTATGTCTATTTTACAAAACAACAAAAAAAAAACCACAGAAATAGAATACCCACACAGAACCAAAATATTTAAAGATACTAATACAAGATAACAATTATAAAGAGTTACAGTAATTCTTACTATCATCATCACCATATTAAAATACAAAACATACAATTGTTGGATTCTCCAAATAAAGAAATCTACATACATTATTGTGAAGACCATATATCTGCTTATATTGTTGCATTATTTATGTTATGCTATGTGTTTTCTCCATTTCAGCATGCATTTAAACCTCTCTAATACAAAATAGTGGAGAAAATTATTATCATTGTATTTGTTCCATAATATTTTACAAAATGGATAAAGTGCATGCAGTTTCTCATTCTGGAGCTTGTGGCATAAAACCTTTGAGGTCAAATGATAAAAACATGCTTCTTTAAAAGATCCATCATTCATTCAAAGTCAGTCCATCTATCCCTATTCTCAGAGCAGTGAAGAGTGTTTATAAATATGTTACCTGGGTTTTCTACAATAGTTCCTATTCTGTCCCCTGTTCCAAATCCAGGCTTCTGCAATTCTAAATTTGGTTCTGGAAGGTGAAATTCAGTGTGATGCAGATAGATCAGGATTGCCACCACATTAACCAAGGTGTGCCTGCAGAGAACAGATCTGGGTACACCTCGTCATTGCATCAGGAAATGCTTGTCACATCCAGATAAAGCTCTCTTTGCCTGTACAAAGCATGACCATCTTCTTCAGCTTTCATAAAGATTTTACTGTTTGGGTTATGGCATTATCCAAAGTTTGGCTTTAAGAAGATGAGCCGTGCCAGCACAGCCAAGATTTCAGGGAGCCTGAGGGAGGGCCGGTGAAAGATGAAGAAAAAGAGAAAGAGAATAAGCTGGGTGTAGGTGGCTCTTCAGTGCCTTACTGATGCCACAGAACAGATCCAAACTGCAAAGCTGATTCTTTATTTATAGTCAGGGCCAAACAAGGTAGTTTATAATGTTCTTGAAAGTTTCACTTGTTTTGGCAGCACTTGCTGCCCCTCCCACAGCCTATTAGCTACCCAGGAAAGATCTAGGGAGCAGTCACAAGATCAAGCTTAATTATGCTTAGAGGACTGTGCCCTTCAAGCTGGGACTTGTTTGAGACTTTGCCAGCAGGTCAGTCTGAGGCTTAACCCTATAACTGCTCCCTACAAGAAGACACAGTTGATACCATGGATGAATCACCATACTTGAAAGTTGTCATTGAGAATATGTATGACTAATCAAATTTAAAACCTAATTATTATGTTTAACTGACCAAATTTTTAATAGCATATTTAGTCAATAATGGACAGAGCTGGATATTCAAAGAAATGGGTTTGTGTTTAATAATTTTTTTGACTGATATGGTTCATGTCTAGCAAAGTAATCACTTTTATTTTACATCTTGACAGTAGCATTAATACCCAAGGAGAAATCTCCTCTCAGTAAAGGAAGATAAGACTGGGCAATTAATCAACAATGAATAACAAATCACTTTACTGAGTTGTTAAAACAATTTGTCCCCAACGCTGCTTGTTCAAAAATAAATTCACTGAGGAATTGTGCTCTAGAGAACTGAGACCTTCTGCATGATTCTTCCAATGTACTCCATGTTTTCAGAGGCTTCTCCTAGCCCATCACCATGGGGAATTAAGTAGAAAAATAGCAATATAAAATTAAAAAGCAAATCGCTTATTAATAACAAAATAATAAGATTATGTGAACAGCTTTTAAACACCCTGGAACCTGAACCAGAGAGGGAGGACGTTTAACATTGTTATTGTATTGATTTATCTGACTGGATAATCACAGAGACCTATCTTTAACTTCACTGATTCCTTTTTATATTTGCTCAGATATGCTATTGAGACACTTTAGTAATTTTTTTTCAATTATTGTACTTTCAACTCCAGAATTTATTTTTGTTCTTTTTCATAATTTTCATGTTTATTGATATAAATCATTTAGTGTTGAGACATTGTTTAATAGTTCTTT